TACTTGTAGCTATTTTTTTAGTATTTTAAAAGAAATTACTAGATTATTTATTCCATTATGTTTCCAAATAAGCAGTTTCAGTGGGTTTTTTTTAAATAAAAGTTGTTTTAAAGCTGAATATCTTGAGTATCCTATAACACAAACATTACAGCTTTTGCCTTAAACCAGAAAGGAAAAACAATTCATGTGCTTTTCAACCAAAAACTCTATTAAGACTTGGTGATCCAAAGAGAGAAATCAACACCAATTTCCTTTTTTTAGCTACTTCAGAAGACGACAGTTTTCCTTCTCTGCTGTATTAACATTCCGAGTAGTTACGCACAGCCATACAATCAGTTGGTGATCTATTGCACTTGTTTTCCAAGGAGGAGGCAGCAGGAAACTGCCTCTTCTCCAGGCAATTTTTCAGTTGCTTTACGGAACAGCCATCTCCTGGGCAGACACGTGCTTAACGTGAGAAGCTGCGGCCGAGACTCATATCCCTACGCCGGTAATGCAGGAGGTGGGAGAGAAGACTCTGTAAACCCAAAGCAGGTCCCTGTTTAGAGACAGGTGATGATACAACATGTATCAAGGGTCTGAACGTGGCCTGAGCTCCCAGTAGAGAGCAGCCCCTGACCGTCCTCCCCACAGAGACCACCTCACCTGCTTTGTAAATCTTTGTTTACTCAAGCAAAATACTGAAGCGAAACATTTCGAAAATCATATTTCATCATTCAAATTAATACTAGTGAAAGTTAGCCTAGAAATACAGTTTTGGAAATATCAGCACCCTGTTTTCTCTTCTTGCATTATGCAGCTAAGCTATGACACTCTGTTTTAACCTCAAGGAATTTCAGGAACTGATCGAATAGGCAAGTCATCGCTAGCTCAATTTCCTGCTGCCATATAAGCAACAACACAGATGTATCTACAGCCATCAGATTCGCAGCATACACAATTATAAAAATAGCTAAGAGAGAAGCTGGGATAAGTATCTTTGACGGGTATCATTCCAGCACTGACATAAGATCTTCCAGTGGCCTTGGGAAAGTCACGTCACTTCTCTGTCTCAAGTCAGGCCAGAGAGCTGAAAAAACAAGCATTCTGTACTTTCAAGGACTGCTGTGAAAAACATTTTAAAAGCTGTCTGCAAACAAATTGCTGCCTAGCAATAGCCTTGGCTTAGGGAGATTTTTTTAAAATGCAGAACAATTGCACTGGAAGGAGTTTAAGCACCTGCGTAACCTGATATGCTCCAGTGCGGCCATTCCTATGGTTAAATGCTTTGGAGGACCAAGTAATTCTTAGATAGATAACTTCACAGACAAGCCCTCAACTCTTTGGGAGAACAGGCTGCCTGCCAACAGCTCTCAGAAACTCGTAGCCAATTTGGGAGCCAGCAGGTGCTGGGGATTCGGTCACAGGGCAGGGCGCAGGCTGTGGCGCAGGTTTCAAGGAACGTAACTGAACACGCATCTCCGGGCTTCGCTGTTCAATAGGACTGCACAGACCAGCTAAAATACTTACCGCTGCCTCAGGGCCCACCAAAAGCTCAGTCTGAGTAGTCATGCTTGACACTGAGCCTTTGATGTGCTAGCTTAGCAGTTGCTGCTTCCTTCTCTTTTTATGTTTTCGCTAAGAACCTCTTGAAAATAAGACAGTGCGCTCTGTTTTGTCCCATCACAGGTTAAAGTGTTACATATCCAGATAATTTGCCTGTAATTTCTACTGAAACTGTGTTAAATACAACTAACCAATGACAGTTACTGCTATTCCACTTCTTTGTTAAAACAGGTTGTGAAAGTATATGTGGTACCGCCATGAAAACGTCTCATTTCTAAGCAGTTCGAACTCGCGTTAGGCGCGGCAGGCGCTGCACGGAATTTACGGCAGAAATAAAAACAAAACGGTTTTACCATTAGTAAAAAATATCTGTAGTTTCCAATATTCCTCTTCAGTCAGAAATTTCAAGTCTTTCTGGCGTTCCTTCAATAGATCTTGTTTATCCAAAATCCATTGCAAACTAAAGGAAGGGAAAACCATTTCAGCAACTCCTGGTCAGCGTTATGCCGGGTGACGCCCGCACGGGGGGCAGCCTGGGGCCGGCGGCCTAGTGACCTTCAACCACACCACAACGCACCGTCTCCCCGAGCAAACGCGCGCCGGGGTTTGCTGAGCCGGACGCCCGGAAAAAAGCGCGTTGGCGGGGTCTCAGGTCAGCCTTCGCCCACGGCGGCGCTCACGCCCGGCTCCAGCCAGGCTCAGGTTCTATTTACGCCACCGC